TTGTTACCAAGTTCTGGACCAACAGAGGGTAATCCCAAAGCTGCTGTTTCTGTATTGGCAAACCCTGGAAAACTTCATCTTTTTGATGATGCTAGCTTGTCTGCCTTACCATCTCGGCAAAAGCATAAAGCAAGTGTCTTGACTATGGGATTTCCCATGGTAGTACCTACAGTAGATCCACCCATAACTGTGGCAAAGTTCATTACGTTGCCCTCAGGGGGAAACTCATCAAAGATGTTTTCCCAGGTATCTTAGACTCCTAAATTATTCTGTTTTGAAATGTCTAGTTTTTCTGTTAATCTGTGTCGTTAAAGCATTTCATATGCTAAATTATCTCTCAGATAGCCTCAGCTACAAAACACGGATCCACACCATTCCAGGGTGGTTCTGCAAATTGGCCCTTGACTGGGGGTGTGCCCAGTCATCTGTCATTCACAGAACATACTGGTGTTGAGAGAGTGTACATAGCAGGTTATCTAGATGGATCTGTACGGTTATGGGATGCCACATATCCTGCCTTATCACTTATTTGCATTGTAGAAGGCGAGGTTTGAGATGCTTTTATCATTATCCATGAAATTGTTGCTCTTAGGTTGAATGGATATTTTTTAATTCTTATTAGTTTCATATGATTGTCAGGTTGAAAGCATAGAAGTGGCTGGATTTAGTGATCCAGTGACGAATTTAGACTTCTGTTCCCTAACACTAAGTCTGGCTGTTGGCAACAAATGTGGACTGGTCAGAGATGTTTCTTTAGTGGTTTTTCTTTTCCCTCCTAACTAATGTGTACTTGTCATTTTTTTCTGTATTTACCATACCTATGTCATTGATGTATAGGTTCGCATTTATAACCTGAATGGCAGCTCAGATGAGACTACCTTCCACTTTCTCATAGATACTAAACATGAAGGTAAGTTGTAGGAGGTCCTTCTCTAGAAGCACACAAACTTTTTTTTTCCCTTCAAATATTAACTTTCTTTGGCAAGAGAGTCCAAATTTGAGATCCAGTTTTACTTTCTGTTTCAAGATGAGTTATGAACTTTCATCCAGACAAAAATAGAATTCCTGCTTATTATCCAATATCAATTGCAGAAAGAAATTCATACATAGAATATTGACTATGCTAAAATTTCAAATTTTTGCAATTGGCCTGTTGTTAAAACTGGTTTTAAAATGTCAGAATTTTTTTCAAAATAGTACGTATTGGAAAAAGTTTTCAAATTGCTAAGAATTTGAGCAATTGACTTCGTGGCATGATGGCTTTCAACTCTGAGAACATAATCTTTTTGTTACCTCATTTGATTTTCCAGCTCGCTAGATTGTAACCACTATTAGTCACTAATCATATGCAAACTGCTGCAGATAGAAAAATGGCATGCTTACTTAATCATTTAATTGATTTCAGCCATCTGATATGGAAACTATTACTGAAAAAGCTTTCCATTTTCAGTTAGATAGAAAAGTTCCTCATTTACATGGTCCTTTCACTGCAAACAGTTCATTTCTTGTCACTGGATCATTGATATTGCATTTGTTTTGAGAAAGCATCATTAAATCTCTACTTGCTCAAACTAATAGATTTATTACTCGTCTCATAGTTCACACGTTGCCTCAAGGGAAAGGTCCTCCACTTAGAGCTGTTTTTTCTCTTCTCAATTCTCCTATTCTTGCACTACAGTTTGCTAATTATGGAGCCAAGCTTGCTGTGGGGCTTGAATGTGGTCGTGTGAGTATTGTCTGTATTGTCATTTGTATTATGTTGTTTTGATTGTTTTGATGCTAAGTTTATTGACTGGGGCTTTTAGTTTCTTTGTTCATATGAATTCTTCTCTTGCATGCTTTCATTTCAGGTGGCTGTACTTGATACGAGTTCATTAGCAGTTTTGTTCTCTACAGAATCTGTATCCAGCGCTTGCTCGCCAGTCATTTCAGTGAATTGGGTTGAATGTATAAATACTTGTAGCCTTGTGAAAAGCCCAAAGCATTCAGATTCTAATATGCCAATCAACCCCACAGAGCAAGTCATGTTTTTCCTTACCAAGGATGCAACTCTTTATATGATTGATGGTGGAACCGGTAGCATGATCAGCTCCCATCCATGGCATCCAAAAAAGAAATCAGTTGCAATTTCTATGTATGTTATAGGCAAGTATAATCTTAAAGTAGAAGTACATAAGAGTTTTGTTTCTTTGTATTTGACTTTGACAAATAAGTTCTGGAATTTTATTTTTATTTTTTTCAACAGATGGCAGTCCTTCTGTACCTGGCTTAACGGATGGAAAGCAGCTGGAGGAGTCTGACCAAAATTTCACAGCCAAGAATGAATCTGAACATACAACAACTTCAACAGGGATTAGTTCACATAATAATGAGCATCACTCTTCAGTTAACACACTAACCAGAGAAAGATTGCTGGATTCATTTATTTTGCTTTGTTGTGAGGATTCATTGTGCTTATACTCTACAAAGAATGTTATTCAGGTAGCTCCATTGCCTTTTTTTGTTTTTACTTTCAACAATGATTTACTCTGTTTGCAGTCCAACTAATATATCTTCCTTAGGGAAACAACAAAACCATTTGTAAAGTGAAACATGCAAAACCTTGCTGTTGGGCTTCAACTTTTAGGAAAGAGGGAAACATTTGTGGAGTGGTTTTGCTGTTCCAGAGCGGAGTGATAGAAATCAGGTGAAATTCTTATCTTCATAATAATGCAGATTACTTTCCTGCATTTTCGTACTGCACATCTAAATAGTATTACTAGTAGCTATATTGTTGATATTGCCTATATTTGGACAGATCATTTTCGGGTTTAGAGTTGGTGAAAGAAACCTCCTTAATGTCAGTACTAAGGTGGAATTTCAAGGCAAATATGGAGAAGATGATGAGTTGTGATAATGGGCAGATTACACTGGTATTATTTGCTTCTAAAATTTTGACATCATCACAAAATCATCTTTGTACTTGTTTTTTCCATGTTAAACTTATGCATGCCACGTCTACCTTTTTATACTACCGCATACTTTCTTAAACTACTGCTTGTCATGTCTACCTTTTTGAGCCATGGGTCACTTAAATATATTACAGTCTAATTGTTCTGCACTCTTCACAACTATTGTGATTCTATCTAATGTTGATAATTTTATAGGCTCATGGGTGTGAATTGGCCTTCATCTCACTATTTTCGGGTGAAAATTGTTTCAGGTATATAATGAAAAGGCATGTTTAACTAGTGCCATGCATGTATAGCCAATGCCTGGACAATCTTCATTGTAAATTTCAGTTGTGCTTATTAGTAGGAAAGCAAACTTCTGACAGACCTGCAATGCTCTTTGTAGGATTCCAGAGTCTCTTCCATGTCTTCATGATAAGGTACTTGCCGCTGCCGCCGATGCTGCCTTTAATTTCTCCTCGAATCAGAAGAAGAAGCAGGTGCAAATTACTAACATCAGTTTCAAATTATTATAAGTATAATTTTGTTTTTGTATCTGATCTTATGTTTTTACAGGGTACTAGACCTGGGATTCTCGGTGGCATTGTCAAAGGCTTTAAAGGGGGAAAGGTAGAACACAGTGTGGATATTACTCCGAGTCCCAAATCTGATTTTAGTCATCTTCAAGGTGCTTTTTCAAAGCAGCCATTCTCAGATTCATGTCGAACTGCAGTAGATAGTGAGGAAGTTGTGGAGCTTAATATAGGTTTGTGGACCTTAATACATGTTATTACCCGTGCCTATCTATACCATAGTCTTTTCTCTCCCGTACTAAAAACTGTCCTCGTGCAGATGATATTGAGATAGATGAACCTTCTCTACCCACAGCAACTACTTCATCACAAGATGTGAAGCATATGAAGAGAGGTAAATTTGATTTTTACACACGTTAAGCAAGTTTTAACTGATGCTGGTCATTTAACACTACAGTTTTTGCACTCCAGAGAAGTGGTCAGAAAGGGAGCAATTATTAGGTGCGACTGATGATATGAAGCCCAAACTTAGGACCCCTGAAGAAATTATGGCTAAATACAGAAAAGCAGGGGTAATTTCCTGTGATGAACTTGTCTCCTCCATCGTAACATCTGTTCCAATGGATTTCCTTGTCTGATGTGGTTACTGTGTTCAGGATGCCTCTTCGGCTGCTGCACATGCAAGAAACAAGCTTGTAGAAAGGCAGGAAAAACTTGAAGTAAGATATTATGGATTTAAGATTTCTGTGAGATTGCTTTGGTATTTGAAATGGATAAAATGGCTTCTACCTTGTTAAAGCTAAACTAACTTGTAGGTTTTATTGAGTGGAAATGATGAGAGAAAAGAGAAGATGCCAATTCTTTGTGGCAACAATGAATTGGGAGTTTCCCATCTCATGTCACCCTATTTTTGCGGCTTTTGTTCGCAAAGTTAACTGAGAAATTCACTAGACAATTTCATTGCTTTGTTAATTTCACTGTAGAATACGATGGTTATGTCTCATGGTCAAGTCAGTGAATGTCAGCTTATCCTTCTAGATCTGTTAACTGTGCATAGATTGTCTTAATGGCCCCTAAAGATACCTTTTTATCACTCTCACCAGAGAATCAATAGGCGCACTGCAGAGCTCCAAAGTGGAGCCGAAGACTTTTCATCAATGGCAAACGAGCTTGTCAAGTTAATGGAAAAGCGAAAATGGTGGCAAATATGAAGAAAATGAAGTCTAGCTTGTTGGCATGGGTTTAGATTGTTTGTACTCTTTTGTCGTGAGTTTTTGGAGTGCATTTTTTGAATCTCTACTGTATATTAATTTATCCGACTGCAGTTAAATTTCTTGTGCAATATGTAAAACAAGGAAGCTCGAGACATTTCTTATTATTTTCATTTGTTCTATAGAATTTTTTGTTTCCTAGAAATAAAGATTGATTCACTGAAACCGATGCTGCCCATTCATTAACTGAGAGAAACCAGAAGGTTTGTTAAACGGGACTGGATTTTTCTCGGCAATGTACCAGCCAGATGCAAGGGTTTTGCTATTTGTTGCTGGTTCTACAATTGTGGCCTCGTTTATGTTGTTTTACGAGGCTAGGTTATGGCTGCAGGTTCAAATAATAGCATTAGTTTTCTCTAGATTGCTTTGTGAAATTGTGATTTGGCTGTGTTGAGGGTTCTAGGGGCTGATAATTAAAAAATTCAGGGCTAAAAATGGCCCAAATTATGACTGAAGGTCAGATTTTACTAAATTTGAGGTTTCATTGAGTTGTGGAGCTTAATATAGGCCAGTGGAGCTTAAAGCATGCTAATTATGGTGGGGCTTAATATAGGCATGTGGAGCTAATTACATTAATATACCCAAAAACTCTATTCTCTTCATCGATCCCTCTCAGTTCTTGTGTTTTCTTCATCGGAACTGATACGGAAACACTGAACCTGCTCGTATGGCGACCAAATCATCCCATGAAGTTCAAAGCAGAAGGAGAGGTAAATCTGAGCTATCGTGTGTCAGCTGTATGGATTGTATTGAACAGTAATCATCTCTAATTTTGCAGAGAAGAGAACTGGAAGGGAAAATTTATTGGGTCATGGCGAGGAAACAAAGCCAAGAAGCAGGAACCTTGGAGAAATCGTAGCTAAGTACAGAAAATCCAAGGTAATGTCACATCCTGATTAAAATCAATGAACTCTTATTTCATTGGTAAGGCCAACACATTTGAATTGATTGTGTTTTCCGGTTTGGTAAATAATTTCAGGATGCCTCTTCCCTGGCTATGAGTGCAAAGAACAAGCTGGTGCAAAGGCAGGAAAAGCTTGGTGTAAGATTCAAGGATAGACCTAAACATCTTTTGTTTTCGTTATTTAATTTCCCTAGATTCATGTCATAGTCATAATTTATTTGATCAAAACTTTCTCCAGATGTCCTGCTTATGCAAATGACCTGTTTTTGGATTTCTTCAGCCTTCATACATTCCTTGACAATCACAATTATATTGCTTTCTGAAATTTGAATTGTTATACACGAGCAGAGTATCCTTACCATCTGCAATATGATTTTTTATTTTATTTTATTTTTGTATAATAATTATCAGAAAATCAACAATCAAACTGAAGAGCTGGAAGGTAATTCAGAAGACTATGCATCATTGGCAAATGAACTTCTCAGGAAGATAGAGAAACGAAAATGGTGGCAAATATGATAACAGATAAAAGAGGCCTGATATGCTAGCTATCTGACACTTTTTTTCAGGTTTTCCCTTCTGTTTGTTTACCCCCTTGTGCATGGTGAGATTTCTCCAAGACACCAGCAGGAGATTATTACCTAAAGTATGCTTGTTGGCATGTAATTCATTATACAATTATGAACCTGTACTTTGATATGTATGGGAGTAATTTTCAACTGTGCTTGCATTTCTATAGATGATTTTGGGTTGCACATTATAAAAGCAGCTTTCCTCCAACTTCCCAATCACAAAATTCCATGAATAGGACTGGTTCTTCAATGGTCTATTGGATTCACAGTTAATGTTCTATTATTATTTCTTTTCCTCCAAACACTATTTCCATGGAAAATCAAACTCGTGACCACAGAAGGCAATGCACCAAAAATTGTCGAAAAGTATCATAGCTAGGCTTACACCAAGATATTGAACTTGTACAAATGTAGCATCACAGAGCACTGAAGGCCATCTAGAGTCTAAAAGGAGGATGGGATACCAAAAGTTCATAAAGACAAAACAAAACAGACCTTCAGAAGACCTGGAAACCAATGCCGCATGTTATTGTCAGCTTCAAGAATGAGTAGAAGTAGAAAGTTGCATCATACTGTTAGCAAGTCTTTTGCCAACAACATCCCTCAACTCAATTTCACCAGGAAACCGATGCTCCATCAACTTGGAGAAAACCTACAATGAGGAGAACACAAAAGAAAGCATTTTTATACATACCACATTTGTTCCTACAAAACATCCTAACAACCTATATGCAGGTATTTAAGGTTATTTCCTCCTAAGTCTAAAATTGCAGTATCATTCATAACATAAAAGAAAAGGGAAATATGGCTCAAGTAAAAAGACGAACACGTGGCATTAAAAAAAAAGTGACTTTACCAATTCACCATTGCAAAATACTTCAAAAGCACCAGAACTCTGAAGGAATGATTGGATAAAGTTTCCAAAAAGCCAAGTGCTAGCAATACTTCCAAATCTGTTTGCACGCAGTGAATAATACCACGGGGGTGGAGCTGCAAATCCTAACCTTGGAAAAATCTGTTCGCCTGCCATTATTATCCCAATTATTCCAAACTGAAAAACAGGAACTACTTTGCTGAGTAGGCGCTTCGGAAGCGAAGCAGGATGGTTTGCCAAAATAACCTGTATCCCAGGAAATTCTGATTCCAGCATATTTTTCATAGTCACAGCAGTTCCCCTGCCAAAAGAAACACAACTTATCTGTGAACATTAAATGTAAGAAGAAGAAAACTAGGATTAAAAACGGTAACCTTACAACCACAAATCCTAAAACTAAAAATTAGATCTAATTAATATTATTAATTTGTTCCCACATGAATGAGAAAAATACCTCCCTTTACTCTAACTTTTAATTATAAAAAAAAAAACTGTCCACAACAACTGGAAAAATAATTATGGCAAATAATCTTGATTCTTGATGGTGCACAATTATGAAAAATAATTTATAACCAATCACCACCAATGCAAGTTAAACTCAGGATAATTAAAAGTCTATTTAACATAACTTATAAAAAGAGAATTTTGACTTAAGTAATACTTCAAAGTTGTTTTTCATAAATAATTTATGAAAAAAGTATTTTTTAAATTAAAAGCAAGTTTGATAAAAATTACTCAAAGCAACTTTTCTAAAGAATATATATAATGTAAGTTAAAATCCACAAGTCAAAAGTAAAATTAAATCAGAATTTTGACTAAATTTTGTAACAAGATTTCTAACCAACATATTTATAACTCTTCTATGAGTAAAAAAAAAAACTTAAATCAATCATATCAAACGGAACCTAAACGATTTCAGTTTAATATAACAGTCACAGCAAACAGAAAATGTGGAGAATGGATTAAACCTGTAAGAACAAGAAACACAGAAGTTGATGTTAATAACGTTGCCAAACCCAATATTGCCTAATCCTCTACCAATGGTGCTTGATTTCTGCATCTCATCAAAACATTAAAGATTATCACAAAGAAAGAAAACCCACTTCGATTATGTGAAAAGCATAAAGAAACATGCAATTTGTGAAGTTTAAAGATACCCGTGTGGGAAATTGAAGAGGCTGTTGTTGAGGAACTTGTTGAGGTTTTGTTTGGAATTTATGGATGTTGTGGTGATCATTTGGAGTTGGTTTTGGAGGTGGTGATGTCGTGAAGAGATTTAGAATGTCTGAGCAAAACAGAAAGATTGGTAAGCCTAGAAGGAGGATTTGAGATCGATCCATTTCTAGCAAGAAGGCAAGGACAGGGATGACGACGGAATGCTGTAAAGTCCACCGAGCGGCTTTTGACGTTGTTTTTCTCTGCGATTTTATTTCGAGAAAAACGGGCCAGGGCCAACTACTATCCCGCTCGAGCCTTAGGACCATAATTGACAGAACCAACCCAGAAACTGACTTGAAAATTATTGTATCAATTTACAGGTTATACAGTCCATCCAAATTAATTAATTTTATTTAAATAATAATATTTTGTTTTTTTTGTGTCGAACATGTATTTAAACCAGGTGAATTGGGTTTTTTTATATCAATATCTTATTTAATTTAATTAAAATTATAATTTAAAATAGATTTTGAATTTTAAGTTTTTCAGGTAATTCCTGGTGGTTTTAATAACTATATACAAGACATCACTACATAACTTTAAAGCTAGCTTAGTAATATCTTATTTTAGTTTGAGAATATCCCTTACCATAAAATTAAAAAAATAACGAAGATTTAGGTCAAAATCATGTAAAATAGTTAGACTAATATTATGTAAAATAAACATACATATATACATATCTTAGACTAAAATAAGCATACATATATACATATCTTAGACTGATATTTAAACATACATATATACATATCCAACCTTTTGTATATCTATCTCTAATTAAAATTTTATTTACAAAATTACCTTAAATTTCAACCTTGATGCAAATATGATAGAATTTCTCCACGCACACATGGAAATGTAGGAGAGGTACTGGTACTGTACCTGCGTTGCGCAATGGGATTTTTTTCATTAAAAATAATATTTATATAACCCAAATTTGTTTTAAAAAAAAAAAAGAAAAAAAACATTTAAGTCTCGATAAGTTGATTGAATAAGTTCAAAAAAATTAGTTTTATTTTAATTAAATGATAAAAAAAAATAATGATAAGTAATACAAAATTAATAAAAAAAATAGGTGATAATGATAATATAAGAAAAAAAATATTTTTGTAAAACGAGAAAAATAATGTAACTCAATTTTCAGTCCATTAAATACAAATAATGAAATTTGGTAAAAAAAAAGGTTAAAAAAAATTGATCGAGACAATCTAAGTTAGCACTGTTGTAACCCAATTTTGGATTCACTAAGATTTTCTCGAATGTTATTTTTATTTTATTATTCATAACAAAAATAATAATAATAAATAAATAAAAAATTTTAAAATATATTTTCTCAAGTCAACCTCATCTTTCGATCAAAACCGAGTTCACTAAGTCAATACGGGTTAAACCATGTCGACCGAGATAAAAAATGAGTTTCGGACCGTTTCGGGTCAAAACCAAGTCCACTAGATCAATACGGGTCAAACCATGTCTATCAGGATAAAAAATGAGTTTCGGGCCATTTCGGGTCAAAACCATCATTTTTGGTCAAAACCGAGTCCACCGGGTCAATATGAGTCCCACCATGTTGACCGGGATAAAATATGAGTTTCAGGTTATTTTTGGTCAAAACTGTTATTTT